ATATTTACAAGCATGAGCCTTGGGACCTTCCAGGTTGATTATTTGGGTTTTTATTTATTTATTTTAATTTATTCTTTTTTTTGTTTATTAAAATAGTTTGCTGAAATGTTCTGAAATTTTAGAGGTTTTTATTTTAAAAGCTGTACTTTGGTAAAGCTGTGTTTTAAAAGGTTTTTTTTCCTGGGAAGGTTTCTTAGTCGAAAATTTGAGAATATTGTGAAATATTTTGTTCTTATTTGCATGTTTGAACATTTCTCTATTGGGTCATTCCAGTATCGTTCACAATTGATTTTTCTTAGAAGATTTTGAAATATTATTTGTTCAAGTTATTAAGAACTTATGACAATAACAAATGCAGTGTCTTTACAAGCGAAATGCAGTATCCTTTGTTATCAGTTCTTTCGTCTGAGAAATGGTATTCATGGATATTAAGTTTTCTTTGTGGATTTCTGTTTCCTTTTATTTGTTTTTCTCCTCCCTTTTTTATTGTGGTAAGTGCTTGGATATCTGCCTTATACTGTGCTGCTGCTGTATACTGGTGGATTTTAGTTCATTTTAAGCTATGGTGCTAAAGTTTCTTCTTGGTGGGTTTTTTTTAGACAAGTCAAGGTTGAAAACCAGAGACCAGGAATGGTATTTTTTCAGTTTGTTGGACAAGAAGTATGGGAATGGAGGAAGAATGAATAGGGCAACAAACCAAGGGTATTGGAAAGCCACAGGGAAGGACCGAGAAGTCCGCCACAATGCACAGCTTATTGGGATGAAAAAGACACTAGTATTTCATAATGGGAGAGCTCCGGATGGGTTGCGGACCAATTGGGTTATGCACGAGTATCGGCTTGTTGAAGAAGAATTGGATAGAATTGGGGCATTGCAGGTCTGAGACCTTTTAATTTGATCTTGTTGGTGGTAATCTGTTATGCATGTCTGCAAGTATTGATGTTATGGTTTATATTTATATTTATGTTAAAGAAATTATACATGAAATGCTTAAGTACATTATGCCTTCTGTGATGGATTGTGCTGCATTGATCAGATTATAATGAACAACTGACATACCGGGAACACATTATTCTGTATGGAGAACATATGACATTTGAAGTAAGATGAGGTGAACTGTTTGTATTTTGGCTGCTTTGGTTTCATCACAATGTGGTTGCTGAGAAAATTTAGAAAATGAATGATAAATGTGATTCCAGTTGTCATTCAATGTGATGTTTTACATGATACAGTAAACAAGCATGTGCACCTTGCTTGATGTTGGTAGTTCAGCTTATTCTGTAGAGCGGTTGGTAATTTGAAACTTCAACTTTAGAAGTCCAAGAATTTTCTCTAAACCGAACTTTACTATTGTACAATCTTGGAAAGTAATCTTATAAGAATTATTTCTTTTCCTTTCTATTTTTTCTCCTTTTGGTGTTGAAGGGGTATGTGCTATGTAGAGTATTTCATAAGAATAATATCGGACCACCCAATGGAAACCGATATGCCCCTTTCATTGAGGCAGAATGGGATGATGGTTCAGAAGCGTTGGTTCCAGGAGTAGATGTTGGGGATGATGATGTAGGTGGAAATAATTTGCTAGATGGGAAGGAAGTCGCAGCAGCTAAGAATGCAGTGATTGCAAGCAATGGTGTTCAAAGGATTAGTTTTGAGCAGGTTTGTCTTTATTTTTTTTATTGCTACTGCATCTTTTTTTTATCGAACTTTATTGTATGTGCTCATATTTTTCAGGGTTGAAAGTTTCTGTATTTTTTCACTTAGATGACTTCACATTAATGTTTAAAGCATCGTATGATACTTTCACCAACTGATTTTGTGTGCTGACAGAATTTAATAATATTTTGCTTATTTGACCTTTTCGTTAAATGAAAGATTCCGTGCCTAAGAACCTCTCATTTATTCCTTTGTCTCGATTTTTTTTTCTACAATGGCAACAAAAATTCAGGCATAGCCTGCTAAGCTCTCACCTAGAAGGATACTTTTATAATAGTAACTTTAGTAAAAAAACACTAAAATTCAATAGACGTGGGATAACAGCAGTTAACATCTTTATATTGTCGGATTTGTTAGCTTCACTGACAAGTTCATGGAGCATAAAGTTGTCAAAACTTTACATCCTCTGGCAGCTAATACAATTTCCATTTGTTTCAAGAGTAATACGTTTTCGGATTTAGCTCTTCCATGATGTGAGATAAATTTGGAACAGACAATCATTTGCACCCTGCTGTTAGACTTGATACCAAACTGTATCATGAGCATTTGACTTTCAAACTCAAGATCTCACTATTGTTTAACTTACTTGGGAAATGGAGTCCACTTAGGCCAGCTCTGCCAAACTATTTACGTCAAGGATGTTTAGGCTTTTTACTTTATTTTTAAGCTAATTGAATTGCGACTATTTTGGATAAATTTACAACCAGTCTACAGACTAAAACCGCTTAAGTAGTTTGGTCCCAAATAGCTAGTAAATTTTAATCTGTCATGTGTGGTAATCTTGGAATGGTTTTACACTTTAGAAAGAGTCATGTGCATGCCATCACGCTGCTGCCTTTTTTTCTGTGTGTTCACTCGAATAAGACAGAGTGATAGACTCTGTAGATTAGACGTACTGAAGTTCTCTTTGTTGACAATAAATTATGTGATTGGGGTCGTTTAAACCGAACTGCTTTTGTTCTGTATCTCTTCATGTGGTGTGTACCATGTTTTCTTGTCATTTTCCTTTTATGCTTGAAACTGTAAATGTTGTTTGCTTGTGATTCTGCTATGAATATGATTATCGTCTTTATATTTTTGTTTCTCCTAGTGGTGAAGATGTATTCAAGGTTTTTTATGCATTAAGATGTAGTTTTATTTGCAATCAAATGTTAAGTTCAAACAATAATAATTCGAATGTTGCAAATAGTTAAGACACTATTCGTTTTTTAGTTCTCTCTACCTAAGGCTTCTTTCATCTATATGTTGAATGATAACAACGGATATATTAAAATCAATTTTCAAAATGCATTTCTGAAACTTATTTTGCACTTCCAGGAGATTCAAAATGCTGATGAGGATGTTCCAGCTGATGATGCAGTTCCGAGAAAGTCACCGAATGAGAGAACAGATGACCGTCCTTCACTACCTGCATGTAAGATGGAGAGACCAGATAAAGGCCCTTCTTTATGTTTGGTTAATAGAGAAGAACCCTTTCCACTAATCCATTACAAGAGAAGACGCCAGAATGATTCAGGACCCAACCATGCAAATGTTTCCGAGAACTCAACTAGAGCAACTCAGGATCATTGTTCATCTACAACAACAGCAGTGACAACCACAATGTCACCGTCATTGGATACAACAACAGCTGTCTCCGCACTCTTAGAATTTTCTCTAATGGAATCTAGAGAAACCAGAGAGAAGAAGCCTCGCATTCCAAAGCCACTACACAAAACTGCTAATCTGGATTCAATGGTGCCGCCTGGCTGCATGAAACTTATCAAAGAATTGCAGGATGAGGTCCGCAAGATTTCTGCCGATAAGGAGACGTTGAAGCTCGAAATGATGAGTGCTCAAGTGGTTAACATTCTCCAGTCGAGATTAGATTTGGTTATCGAGGAGAACGAGGAGCTAAAGGGGAGAAACCGTGGAGCCAGGAATGGTAAAGTAGGCTCATGTAGCCATCCCTATCCCTAAGAGGTAACATCTGGTTTGAATCCCAGCATCTGCAATAATTTCTTCTATCTGTTACTTGCAGCCTTACTTTTGTAAAAATGTAAACAAAGAAGAGCGTAAGTACTGTTTTTTAGTTTTCTAGGTGGACATTATATTAGCATTTGGTTGTTGAAGAATGTTGTAGCGTTGCCGCTTATTTATGCCTACTTCATCATACTTCAAAATTTTTACTTAAAAATGTATGTTTTACTAAAAGTAGGTGTCTAATTTTTTTTTACTTAAAATAGGTGCTTAATGTTTTGAACGTTATATTTTTTAAGTTCTACACTGTAACAACAATTAAGAAAACCGTTAATTGATGCATATCATATATATATATTTTTTAATTTTCTATTTTAAAAAAATACAAATATTTTTAAAAAAAATCCCATCGTCCCCTTCCCCTACAAATTCTCTCTCCCTACCACGCTCCCCACCCACCCGGTCCCCTATCTCCCATTAATTTCAGAAAAGGTGGAATGATTAAGATTAAATCCCAACTAAATTTCCGCTCATTAAATTTAAGAGAAGGGATTTATGAATTTAGGAATTTGGGATGATAGAAAATGTAATAATCGATTAGAGGGATTTATGTATTTAGGTATTTGGGATAATAGAAAATGTAATAATCGATTAGTGGGTGAACGACGACAAAAATGATAGAGATAAACGACAAGGGTTGGTAATGAGAATTAGAATAAAAGATTATAAGATTTTGTATTTCTATAATTAAAAAAAAAATTGAATTTTTAATATTAATAATATTCTTAACATTTTTTAAAAAAATAAAATTTTCAAATAAAAAAAAAACGTAACAAGTTATTTAACATATATTTTAACAATTGTTACGACTTAAATACCTAAAAGTACAATGAAAAATATGTTTGATACATACTTTGAGCGAAAATTTCTTTAAACACATAAATTAACAAAGAGTAAAGCTTAGACACTTATTTTTACATTAAGTCTAAAAATAACAATTCATAATTTATTTTAATATTTATATATCATGTGAATTCCATCCTTATTTAAAAAAAATTGAAAACTATAAAATTTATTTTAAAAAACCATAAAAATTCATGAAAAATCTACTAAAATACTAAAAAAATCGTTGCCGTTCATTCTAACACAGCACTCCACCAACAAACCATCCATATTCCACAACAGATTACCAGAAACTCAATTGCCAATAAAATTAAAATCCTAAATAATTAGTAATTTTAATTTAATTGAGTCTGTTTTTAACCCATAAAAATTTTAGCAATATTCAACAACAGATTCCAAAATCATATTTCGAACAAGTCCTATATAAAGGTCAAAAACAAAGTCATGATTCCTCTTCACTAGCCTCAGCAGCAGCAATCTCTGAATCCAATTTGTTTATTAGCTGCTCACTTACATGTTTTGCTACTGATATCATGTCAAGAATAATACTCGGGTCTAGGCCAGCACCTCCCCGTTTCGTGAGGCCGCAGATGTGCCCTTTCCGGTTGACGGAAATCGAGACAGCTGAGCTCATTTGTGATTCCTCTTCTGATGTAGCATCGACGATATAGTGCCTCCCCACCTAATTAAAAAGGTGCAAACAAGAAGATAAAGATAAGATAGCAAAATTCTTTTCGACTATTGACAAAATATTATAACGGGGAACTGCTTTACCTTTGTTACTGTAACTATGACAGGGATCCCGGATGTGTCAAACTGCAGAAACTCTTCATCACTTATGTTGACTTCAGGTTGGTCATCACCTCTTGTCTCGGCTTCAACATCGACCTTAGGGATGCCGGTATTGCTTAAAGCAGCCTTTACAAACAACAGTCAGTGTCGTTAATTTCATGTTTTGAGAACCAGTACAATCAATTCACAATGACTTAAACATCAGAGAAAACTGTTGAAAAGTCATTTAAAAAAGGCGAAATAAAAAGGAGGTTGACAGAAATGAACTTTGATCAGTTTAGGGTAAAAAGGCTATTTTACTTCAACCGATGACTTAAATACGAAGCACCGATGGAAACACAAGACTTGAGTACATGGATAACGGATATTTACATGAAACTGTCAATTGATGCAAAACAAATGGCCACCTCAAGATGCCACATACCAGGAAATACTAGATAAATGCAATTAAAAGCTAAATAAAAAAAGAATAGGGTAACACAAGATAGTCATTAGGACTTGATTATCAGGCAGGTTTTCGACGTGTTTGACAGCATAACTCAAGGCAGACTCAAATTGAGAACAAATGTTTCAGAACACATTTCCTCTAATAACATGTGAAATTTCTTTTCAATACTTGGAAGTTAATTTGAAATCTAAACCCGAGTCACACCAAACCAAGAGAGAAGAAAATACGAGTTCAAGTAAGTACCTTAATGGCAGCGGCAAGGGCATCGAGCAAATTCCCATCTGAACTAATAACAAGACCATCAATATAGAGATCCCAGCACACTTTTCCTTCCACAACCAGCAGAGATGTAGGATCAATTCCAGCTCCTGAAATATATGGATCAAAATACTTACATTCTCAAACTGAAGAAAAGTATCAAAATATAAAATAACAAGGAGTTACAGGAGATTAACCATATCTAAAAAGGTCTACCTGCTCCACTTTTGCCACCCAAGAGGCAACGTTGCAGAGCAACTGAGAGCTCTGTTGACAACTCCTCACCTCCTCTACCCTGTACAAAATGAAATACAAAAATTTAACACATAAAACAAAGTGAATACTGGATTATGAATACCATAATGGAGGATTAAAGACGTACAAACATTACTATGTCGTGATTACATAATAACATGTATAAAAAGAAAAAGGAAAAACATAAAGACTAGAACAGTGTTAGTCCTTCCACATTACAGATACACATTTTCTTAAAAGAATATTAGTCCAACACATGGATGTTTCAGGAGATAATAGCATTTAATATACAACCACTCCAAAAGGGCTGCAACTAGCCATTTAAAACTCCTCATAAAGATCATGTTCTCCAAGGAAGATAATTCGATAATTGCATACATGGATGTTTAAGCATTCATATCATGATACTAGAAAAATTATTCACTGTTCCAACACACCCCCATTATTACTTTCTATTTAAGAAAAATTGCAATGCTACCTTAACTAATATTCTTTTAAAAATAAACAAAGAAATAGGACATAATACGAAATTCATGTCAATTCAATCAACAAAAGGATAGACTTGACTGCTAAAGAAAAAACCACCTCAAACATTGGTGCCGCAGTTGGACTACAATCAACGTATATAGCAATCTTTCCTTTGTCAGGTTGCAATGCACTTGGTTTTCCAAGTTCAGCCTGCAAAAAAAAAGGTTGTTAGGAATAGGCTCTGTATTATTGTTCTGTTAATAAAATCATGGGCACTCTTTTCCTCCTTCCAATGTCCTTCACGTTACTGCTGTAACATGTAGGTTATGAAGGGGGGGTTTTAAAGAGGCCTGCTAATATTTCTATAAAAAAAGCCTGAAAAAAATAAATAAATTAGTACAACCGTATTAATATACATCTAAGACAAGAAGGAAACAATAAAAATTACAAAGCAAAAAAAAAAAACTATAAACTTTGTCATCTAAAGAGAAATACCTTGACACTGACAATAACATCAGTTGCACCAAGCCTAACTCTTGCTGAACCATGTGCCTGTCACCATACCCTTCAATGAGAATTCATATTAAAAAAGAAAAAAAAAAACTAAAGAGAAATGTTGTTGTTGGGGTTGAAAGTAATTAGGAGAAGGTTCCACACCTGAGGAATAACTCCAGTTTCAACATATACGGGTCGGTAAGTTAACCTTTTTCGACCATCTGAACGAAGGTCTTGAGCAATTCCACCTTGTATGAAATGCTTTTCTCCAACAGAAAGACCCACCATTGATGTAAATCCACAGAAAAGCTAATAAAAAATACCTTGAACTCACTGGGTTTCACTTGCACGGCGAAGAATTCGATAGAAATTGGACTCCCTTCTATTTGAGAAACAAAATGTAAAAATAATTTTCCAAAAGGGCGGTAGGGTTTAAGAGGACACAAAAAATTAAAGCCAAATCAAAGGAGGTGCTGAACTTAGGGTTAGGTCATTAAAAGTCAAATTTTAAAAAAAAATCCCAAAATTTTGTGTCGTATATTCACGAGATTTTCCCGTAGTAGAAAGAAGGCTGATTTGAAATTATTTAAAATGAATAAATTAATATATATATTAAAAACATTAAATTGATCTTCATTGAAAATTTTATTTATTTTACCTTAATTGTCAGCGAATTTTTTTTATAAAAAGATAAAACATTTTTAAATTTTTTAATATTTATATTTTTTTCGATTTAACATTTACTCGTTAAAAATACTATATGACAATATTTTATGATTTTTTATAATTGAGGAATAAATCAATTAAAATTTCATAGGATTAAAAAAGTTATTTTACTATTTATATAATGATAAAATATCGGAATTAGCTTTCAATGTTTGATTGAATACTCATTGAAGTATTGCTAGTTGATAGAACTAGGGGGTGTAAACGAGCCGAGTCGAGTTCGAGTATTGCTGAGCTCGACTCGAAAACTCTGAAATAGAGTTCGAATCGACTCGAAAACTCGCGAGCTTAAAACTTTCAAGTTCGACTCGAACTCGAAATCCTGAACTGAAGCTCGTGATAAGCTTGAAAAGGCTCGAAATGAAAAAAAATTTTCTTAAACTTAACTCGATTGAAGCTTCAAACTCAAACTCGAACATGAACCTTAAATAGATAAAAATCTTACTTAATTTTAAAAATAAATCAATACATAAATTTTAATATTGTTAATAATTTATTTTCTAAAAAAAATAAAATCTTAATATATTATATTTTCGAGCTGCTCACGAGCTTTTCGAGTCGAATATCGAGTAGCTCGTTTCGGCTCGTTAAGAACTCGAGTCGAGCTCGAGCTCGAGTCGAATCCATTCGATCCGAGTATTTATCGAGCCTTAATCGAGTCGATCTCGAATAACTCGCGATCTGTCTCGTCTCACTTACAGCCCTAGAAGGAACAGAGACATCTATATTCTAGACACGTGACGAAGGATTTTGATTTTTTTTTATAAATTTGTCTAAATCTAAAATTCTCGATAGTTACACATATTATTAAAACGGAGACATCATAACTCTCTTTTGATTGATTATAGAGAGAAAGCATAGAAGTCATTTAGTTAGACAGGAGTGAAGGTATCGTAATACTCTTCGCTAGAGATGAGACAACTCGACATGTTTAGAGGAGTCCAGCGGACGAGAGGATGCATCTTCGTCTTGTAGAAGCAATGGGGGAATTACCCTCGTTGGGGCAAAGACATCCAGATGCTCTTTAAAACAAAATGGAGGAACTTCGATTACTGGAGTGGAGGTAACTCGACCCATTGAATGGATTCCATAAGCTGTAAATTGGGGTAGAGATAATTCTTCACCCTTGTAGAAAGATTACAGAATGTGTGAAGACATCTCGAAACTTTTGTATAGATGTTGTAGAAAATGGGCGAAAGCATCTCAACATTACTTATTTGTAACGGAGACATCGCAACTCTCTTAACCGGACGATAGATACATGGTGAGGAAAACCTTAGTTGGAGTATAATGGAGGAAGCTCAACACTTTTGGCTAAGGAAGAGACATCTCGACGCTCTTGGAGAATAATGCAGAATGGGTGAAGGCGTCTCGATGCTATGACTAAATAGTGAAGGATTTTTAACGTTCTTGGAGGGGCGATCGATGACATACTTTTGGAGAATTTCAATACTAAGTGGAGAAAGTAGAACTACGATGTTTTGTTTGTATCAAAGATACTTCAACATTACACTATGTTAAGAAGAGGTTTTCTTAGTACCTGTGTGAGTAGTCTGAAGGGCCATTGAGGGAGTTGTTCTTGTCATTTGAGACTAAACATTGATTGACAAGGTTACTTACATGAAAAGTAGTCTAGAGGATCGTTGCGAGAGCTTTTTATACCATCGTAAGCTAGATGCTGATTACCGAGGTGTAAATTCCCTACATGTATCTCCATTGAGCCTTTTTGATGCTACATTCGATGTTATGATAACATCGTAATGATGAACATCCATGGTAACATCTACGAAGAAGTGATTTGCACTAACAAGGCATTTTGCGCTGGCTGCCCAACATCAGTTGTCAGTTGATGATTTCTCAATTAGGTTTGTCTTTATGTACATCCATCTGGACCTCATTTTGGTTCCCGTCTCTTTGCACGAATTGGTCTAACACCCCATTCTAACTGTCTCCTCCACAACATTTGTGAGGTATACACATTACTGGATATCATAACCCCTCTACTTGTGATGTTGGTAGTAATGGGTGGTTATTCGTCGAACGTCCGTCCCCATAGTAAGAGGTCCGTTGGAGGTCCGCTCCCATAGTAACGGTTCTTTCCACTGCTGGTTAGCTACGTTGACTTGTCAACGGTGGTTTGATCGATTCCTGTTATCCCATCTATTACCCGGAAAAAATGAGCTTCCAACACCTTGGTTAAACCTCAACGACTCATGGAACCTCGATGGAAACCTTGGATACTTCCTAGTCTGCTGCCTTTATAAGGTAGATTGAGGGGGAGTTGAATTTGGCCAGTGCTAGCCACAAACCCCATTTCCTTTACCTCGATATACATGTTGGCTACCTCAAACAGCTGGCTGATTTTTATTTACTTGTTGTCTATTAAAGCATACTTCAAGAGCTCGTGCTAAAGGCCAGAGATGTAAGCAGAGACTACCCACTCATTCGTTAGGTCGTAGATGTTGTGTCTAGATTTGAAGAATCTCCTCGTATAGTCCTTCAAAAGCTCGCCAGGTCTCTGTACCATGCTAAGCATGATGGCTTTTCAGCGGATGATGGATCTGTTGGCCAAAAACTAGTTGATGAACATATGCGACAACTAGTTGAAATTCCCTACAATTGTCGCGAGCAAGGAATCGTACCATTTCTTGGCTCCCCTTCACATACTTGAAGGAGGAGAGGTCTTTTCTCCTATGTAGCCCAATCCCTTCCGGAGCTCTTTGAAACCTTGAGATTGTCAACTTGTCTCTGCATGATAATTATTCTGCTATAGAAAGTTTAACCGGTATGACTTTCTGTCCGTATTTTGTAATATTGAGTCTGAGAGGTAAAAAAATGCAGTACTTTTGACAAAAGTGTCAACAAATGAGAGATCTAAGTGAAATTTTGGTTATAGTGCTTTGCATAAACTAATAAACAAACAAAAGGAGATTTAGAGTATTTTACATTTATTCAAAAATGTCAGAAATTTGTTCTGCAATGACTTTAGGGTACTGAAAATATAAGAATCCCACTTTTGAGTAAGTATAAGAGGGCAAGCTACACACAGAAACCCAAACCAAAATCCACATTCCATGCATATAAAAAACCAGTTCACTTTGTTTCCATTATCCACATCTTCTCCTACACTGTTGCCAGTGGGAACCACAGCCTTTGAATCACGCGAACTATTTGTCAGCGGTGGTCCATAGAGTTTATTCCCAAGAAAACTTGATGAACTAAAGGTTTGGAGTTGCGTGCCTGATGGGATCTTCCCAGTGAGATTGTTGTAGGACAAATTCAGGTAACTCAAGAACGTTAGCTGAGACATGGACTCTGGGATTTCACCAGAAAGTCTGTTTTCTGATAAATCAACACATTCTAGTGTGTTCATGGCACCAATATTACCAGGAATTTTTCCAACCAGATGATTTCTTGACAGATTCAATGATAGCAGCCCTATGAGAGTTGTGATTTCCTCAGGGATCACTCCTGATAGATTGTTGTCTGAAAGATCCACCAGTTTGATTAGTTTGAGTGTAGTGCTGTAATCGAACACCACCCCTTTCATTGTAAGTGCTATGTTGTCGACAAAGCATCCCTTTGATGTCTTGTAAGATATTGTGCCATTTGATTTGTTTCTCGAGTTCATTGCCGTGAGATTCTTGATGCAGGTTGGGATGTTTCCTGATAAATTGTTGTGGGAGAGGTCAAGGATTTGAAGAGAAGGTAGGCCACAGATTTGGTCTGGTATTCTCCCATGGAACATGTTTGACCGGAGGCCGATGATGATCAAATTCGAGAGCCTTTCTCCAATCCATGGTGGGATTTCTCCGGAGAACTGATTAGCAGAGAAGTCAAGAGTGAGTAGTTCTGTACAATTCGACATCGATTCGGGGATTTCACCGTGTAGACTGTTGTTGCTTAGGTGCAAGGACTGAAGAGAAGTTAAAGCTTCCACGGAGGGTGGGATTTTACCACTCAAGTTGTTGTCACACAATTCAATGGCCACCAACCTTCCCCATTTCTCCCAACAATCTGGTATTTCACCTGACAAGTGATTACCACCAAGGCTGAGAACCTCCAGTTTCATCCTATGTTTCTTTCGACACAGAAACCGCAACATAGATCCCGACAACGCATTATTCGAAAGATCTAAAGCTGTCATGTTTAAGGAGATAGCAGGCAGTGAACCAGTGAAGTTGTTGGAACTCAAGTCCAACACAAGAGCAGCATGATTTGTGAGCAAATCTGGTATGTTTCCCTGGAAATGATTCCCGGAGATGTTCAGATATTGCAGATGGGAAGTCAAGTTCCAAAACCAACGGGGGATTTGAGTTTGATCAAAAACATTGTTGCTTAAATCCAAGACAGACAAAGACTTCAAATCTAGTAAAGCAGGGCTCAACTGACCACCAAGCTTCAATCTGCCATTTGAAAATCCAAGGTGAAGCTCAGTGACATGACCGGTAGCATTGTCACAAGAAACACCCTTCCATTTGCAGCAATCTTTGTTTCCAGGCCTCCAATCAGCTAACAACATGTTTGACGAGTCTTTGAGATCCTTCTTAATCTTCAACAGAGCTTGTCTTTCACTTCCAATGCAACCAGGTTCAGGGTTTCCCTTGCAGAAGCAGCTGTTTAAACATAGCAATACCCATAAAATGATTGCAACAGAATCCATTCACATTCAACCATAATGCTGCACCACTTGGAAATATGCATTCCTAGATAATATTCGTTAATTAAAGCGCAAACATCCCACTTTTAGTCGTTGATTAACGTCAGATATTCTAGAGTATCGTATAGAAGTTTCCATGGAGTTTCTTTCGGGGAAAAGAATGATTGCTGATAACCAGACCATTGGTCCCACTGAAACTGACTGGCAATGATATCGGTGATAATGATGGACAATCAAATATTTATCACGTTATGTTTTAGGATAAACTGCATCATATTTTATTAAATTAAATTTTAGGTTGTATGTCGTTTATACCACTGAACTTTTAATTTTTTTAATTATAGTATTGAGTTTTAGTTTTAACTTTAATTATGTCATTAGGCTGTTAAATTTTAATGGGAAGATGATATGAACAAATATTTCTATCATTGTGATGATGTAGACGAATGAAATCATTTGGGTGATAACTATTGATGCCCTAAACGACGTCATTTTAAACATTAAATTTTAGAGATATATCAATTTTATCACTAAACTTTTAAAAAATTCCATTTTTTGGCACAACACTTTTTTGGATGTCGATGATTGGCAATCACTTCATGTCACTGGTTTTCTTTTACGACAAGATCGGTACTAAAACGTTCGAATTTTTGAACAAACCACAAATTTCTCAAATCTAAGAAAATACTTAAACCCCTAAAATGATAGATGTTTTTGTTTAATTCCATCCACATCATCACATTGGCTCAGTGACATAATTAAAGTTAAAATCAAAGTTTAATGTTGTAATTGAAAAAATTAAAAACTCTGTGATATAAATGATACATCATCTAAAGTTCAATGACATCTGATGTAATTTAACTATTCTATTAGTTAATTTGTACGATTGTTCCAAAAGGTTGTTATCAAGTGAGTGAACGTCACCTTCACATTTATGCTAATAAAAAACAAGACGAAATAAGTGAGAAATGATAGGGTCATTTTCATTGAAAAAATGGGCTGCTCAAATCAAACTAAACTTCTCGTCATTATTCATATATGGTTCGAATAGATGCATCGACAGGTGTGTATTAAACTTAGGTTAAAAGTCATGATCATATACTACACATTATAATTATCTTAAATTATTTAAAAATAAATACAAATAAATTATAATTATTAGTGATTATAAAGTAATATATATTCATAACTTTTATAATCAATTGAAAACGTATAAACACTTTACAAATACAATTACTTAAATTTATAAGTTTTAAAAAAAATTAATATTTTTTTTATTATTAAAATCACTTATGTATTGTTATGCATTTAATTGAAACATATGTCGCGGGCGAAGCTTCTATGATTGTCACATACTTTAACTTTGATATTTACTTGTAACAGATTAAAATAATATATATAGGAAAGAAATTAAGGTTAAATCAATTATTATTTTTTAATCTCGCCTGATTTCGTTTTTTTAGGTTCATTTCTATTCGAAAAAGATCGATTATTATTTGTTTGCTATGAATTATTTTGAGAAAAAATTCTACAACGTTCGTTGAGTATGGATGACCACAGTTAATGATGAAAACTATTAAATTAATTTATAAAACGTTAAATTATAAAGTATTAAACGTATAATAATAAATTCGTTAAAAATCTAAATATAATTGAACTAAAATACAATATTTATAAACCATTAGTTTTTAGGGTAAACTATATCATTGACCACCTAATTATTTACCTCTTTTACTTTAACTACTGATTTTTCAATTTTGTCAATCGGATCACCTAACCATTTAAATCTTGTCAATCAAATTACCTACCGTTAGATATTAACGGAGGAGATGACGTGACAGTTAATAAAATTTGTATAATTACACATTTAATCCTCATTACTTATGCATTCTATTAATTTGGTCCTAACTTTTAATTAATTCAATAAATTTAATCCTCAATTAGATGGTGACATATGTCATTATGATAATGGATGTTTTTTATTAATATTTTTATTTAATTTAATAAATTTTGCATCCTATAAAATGGTGTCACATGTCACCAATTGAATAAATAAAAAATAATTTGAATTAATAATCACTGCTACTGAGATTTGAAACCAAAACATGAGGAGAGTAAATAAACACCTCAACCACTAGGTTGCACCATTCAAATGACAAATCTATCATGAAATAATATATATAGTTAATAACAATAAAAAAAAGGAAATGACCTAATAAGAACTCCAATATAGAATAATTGAATAATACGATAATCTAATATATATATATATTATAATTGATTAATATATGAATGTATTTATTTATATTTTAAATCATTTTAATGAAAAAATAAAAATAATTTTAATATATTATAATTGAAATATAACGAAGAGTTTCGTTGACTTAGAATTTTTATGATAGTTGAAGGCTTATCGTAGTAACTATTTTAATTTATGTATTGACTTGTTTATATCCTAGTTAGTGTAAGAATTTTCTATTTTATTATTTATTATATATTTGAAGAAAATTTTAGGGGAAACTTGATTTTATTGAAATAGTCTATTTTAATATAGAGTTGTTAAATAAGATTAGAGTCCAATCAACATTATAATATTTTAAAATATAATATGATACATTTCAGTTCAATAAAATTAGAATAACGATGACAATTTATTAATTTAAAATATGTAAATGATACATTTCAATTATAACATATTAAATTCTCCTTTATTTTAATTTTTCATTAAATGTGATTTAAAATATAAATAAAGCATATTCATTCATTAATCAATTATAATATTTGTATACATATTTTATATTTTCATACTATTCAATTATTTCATGTTTGAGTCTTTATAAGGTCATTTATTATCATTAATTATATTATAAATTATATAGAGTATGTTATGAATACTAAACAAATTTAGTGGTCTAACTTAGTTGGTAGAGTGCTTAATTTTTTGGCTTGCGTCCCAAGTTCAAACCCAATCAACAACATTTATTGATTTAATTTATTTTTTATTCATTCAATTGGCGACACATGGCACTATTTGATTGTATGAAAAATAAATTAAATAAAAAATATTAAAAAAATCCAATCACACAATGACACATGTATAATAGTCAATACCATCATATTGAGGATTAAATTCATTGAATTAAATAAAGTTAGGACCAAATTAATAGAATGTGTAAGTAATGTGGACTAAATGTATAATTATACAAATTTTATTAACTGCCACATCATCTCCTCCAATATTATTTAATGGCAAGTGACTTGATTGAAAATATTTAAATAGTTAGGTGGCTCGATTGACAAAATTAAAAAATTGGTTAATAAAGTAAAATGGGTAATAATTAGGTTGTCAATAATATAGTTTACCCTAAAAACTAATGTTTTATAAATATTGTATTTTAATTAAATTTCATTTATATTTTAACTAATTTATAGTTACACATTTAGTACTTTATAATTGAATATTTTATATAATTAATTTGTATAATTAATTTAAATGTGTTCATCTGTGCTTATCGAACGTGACAACATCATCCTATTTTGAGTGATTTTGTTATAAGAAAATGCTCTATGTTTATTGCACCAATTGTTGATAGTAATAATGTGTTATATGTTTATAATAGGCGGTTTATACCTTCTAGTTTAGATAGAGAATCACAATTAATGATTTTTAATGATTTTTTTGATAATACGAGTCAAATAGAATTGATCGGAAAAAAAAGGTTTAATGAAACTTATTGAGTGCGGGTGTCAAATATAAGATCATGATTGCTATTCACATACATGCATAGCACACAAATAGATATAGTTGTATGACAATAGATTTGATCCTAATATATCTCAAAGGTTATCTATTATCATGTCAAAGGATTATGATCAAACGAAGATATGGAACTCTGATTGCTCGATTAATGGAAAGATTTTTTCGGAGACTTTGACAGACAAAATTATTTCTCACAGCGGAACATTTCCGGAGGTATAACAATTGCTTGCGAAGGAGCATTTCGGAGACATAACACTTTTTAATTTTTTTTATATTTTTATACATGAATTTATCATTTTAAATCATTTTTGATAATTTTAATTTTTTAATAATTTTTAAAAAACACTTTTTAAATTTTTAAAATTTTTAAAATAATTATTGTGTTACTTTTTTAATATATATCATAGAATTTTAATGATCTCTTTAAAAATCGTATACTCCTAATGATTTTTAATATTTTTAATTTTATTTTTATTTTTAGTAATTTATGCAATTCTAATATGGCAATTTTCGAGCTTGTCATAAAATGTAATCTCATTAGCCATTTATTAATTAAGGAAAACTGCTCACGGATAAGTTCAATTGATTTTATTTTATTACAAGTAAACTACACGGATGATTTTTTATGTTTTTGGTTTGATCGATTTTAGTCATCAATTCAAAGAAAAAGAGTGACTTTAATCCCTTACGTTATCAGTTCATTCGATTTTAGTCTCTCGACCATTAACTTCAATTAACCCTAAACAAAAAAAAAAGTGTTACGTAGCAATTAATTTTTTTTAAAATCACGTGTCTTTCTCTTCTTCTTTCTTCACAAATTGCCATGCAAATCAAGATTCTCATCCTGATATAAGAATGTTTCATAGGACTTTTGTTTTGACACCAAACATCACCCCTTAGTGAAAATGAAGAATCAGAGTTTGCTAATATGGATTTCTCTCACCCTTCCAAATTTTATCCTCCTCATCACCCAAAGCCAATCTTATGCAACAACACAAACGCAACTCATTTTAGATAATCTCACAATCGAGAGCTTCATCAACAGAACTCTCCAATGGAAAAGAAGTACCCGTCATATGTCGAAATCACATTGAAACATGAAGTTATCCACCTCACCAATGGTAGTTATTAGTAAAAAAAATATTGCGTTAACATTGACTAACATAAATAATAAATAAATAAAATAAAGACGATATAATCATTGTGCCGTATAATCACTACATTAGAAGTAATTTCGTCTGGATTGGTGTAATTCCGGAAGTTAACAAAGTTTTTTAGATTTTGTACACTCGAAATAAGGATATGGAACTCGCTTGGTACATCAAATAGTGAAGTATAAATTGATATTTATAAGAAAAAGATAAGGGATAAATCAGTAGTAGACAGAAGCGATTACCATAAAATTTCAACCACTCTTCAATATCTCTCAAATATAGAAAAAATATTTTATAAATGATATTTATTTTTATTTAATTATTTGCATTATCCAACAATCCCCACTAATGCAAATAAATAAAAGATTATTGAAAACGAGAGAAGAAAAACACTGAAATTAATCGCTTAAGCACTAGTATCTGTTAGATTTGAACTAGTACATAGTGAAATAAACAATTCTTCTCTTAATAAGAGAACGAATCTTGAACTTGTTAAAATAGGAGTAAACTTATTACACACGGCTAATCTCAGATCCAATTGAATTTCGCGACAAATCAATCAATTTTGTCAATATACATCGGGATGCTAGTAAGTGCTCTAGAAAGACAACTCAATATCTTTCATAGAAGTTGACTAGTTCTTCACATTTATAGATGACTTCATCAAATTTATCTTCATATAGACCATCCAAATCAGGGATATAAAATCATTAAAAGCATTTAGAAAGCTCAACTTTTTTTTTAAGATTCGGGGAATTCATCAACTCCGTATCACAAGGACCACTCAAATCTTGGGCTATGAACTCATTAAGAGAGTAAAACTCAACATCTCAAGTCAGTGAGTTCATCAAGTTCGTCTCACTATGACCACCCATATCCTGGGTTATAAATTCATTAAGAGCAAAAGCTCATCCTTATGCATGTACATTATTTTCCATAAGAATATACAAGAATGTACATTATGATTCTTTTCATAACTTCGTTTGACCACGTTGAACTTAGAAAACTAAGTTGGGTGTCCACCATGAATTCCTCTACCAAATGGGTTCAAGACATATCCCCTCAACAAATCATGAATCTCTTTTCATTTTAACTCTTAAGTTAATAGATCAATATAAATTATATTCAATCCTCCTGTATCTCAAAGTATTATCATTTTATTTTATGAACTTATGCCTTTTCTTTTCATTGTAGGTTTGATTTTTAAACCACTTATATGAGTCACGTAAAAACATAAAAGATAAAGAATTTTCTCCCTTTAAGGATTCTCAATAAGATAGATTCTTAAGCCATTGAACCTCTTGCCTAACTAAGTCTTGACTTAGCATCTCAAACTTCACAATAGAGCTATTAGCTAAGTCCTGACTTAGCATCTTAGACATCGTTTTGGTGTGACATGTCACATCAGCAACCATTAGCCATGTCATTGTCTCATTAGTGAATTAACAACGGAGTGACATAATTGAATGTAAAACTAAAGTTCAATATTATAATTGACAAAATTGAAAGTTCAATGATATAAACGAGTCAACAAATAAAGTGTAATGGTATCTGAAATAATTTTCCCTAATTTTTTTAAAATTATTTTCAAGGCCAATTCTTTGACCCCATTTCTATGGAGGAAGAAAAATGGGGTACTAAATACACAAATTTTTTTGGCTAAGTTTATATACTTACACGTGATTGACGAAATTTGGCAAAATACGAGTATTAAGGAATGAATATAGTTGCAAAAAGAAGTGATCTCATGAAGAAAAACAGGAAAATCAAGTGCAAGTAATCGTGTTTTTGACTAATAAGGACACCCTTTGTTTTTCATTGAAGAGGAAAACAACGTCGTAGGGACATATCAGAAGAAGATATCAAAATGACAAGCACCCAACAACTTATTCTAGCTTCCCGTGTTAAAGGGAAGTAAGTATACATATTCTACGATCCATATAAAAATGCAGTAAGTTTTAACAAAGCCACACCAATTCATGAAGCAAAGCGGAAACCGATTACGCGGCGGCAACAGCCTCTGTGGGCTTTGTCTCTCCTTCTGCTTCAGCTTCCGTGGGCTTTGCTTCGGCCTCTGCTGGAGTTTCTGTAGGCTTTGCCTCTCCTTCAGCTTGAGCTTCTGCAGGCTTTGCTTCGGCTTCGGCTTCTGCTGGAGGAGTTTCTGCTTCCCAGAAGGCAGTCTTCTTTCCGGTCTTCGACACAGTCTGCAGAACAGCATCGGGCTGAACGTTGCCCTTCACAGTGACTTTCTGTTGCTCCAGATCTATATCATATGATTCTACACCTGAAATGTGTTTTCATGACTTATATATCAGTTAAATCATATCAAACCAGATAAAATAACAGCAACTGATTATGATGGCCCATTTCCTGCTAAAAAGTAAAGAATTAACATGTATCATTAGATTGGGTGTATGATTTCCTACTTGAATGTAAAAATGAAGCTAATCCTTTACCAATTTACCAAAGAAGATGAATGCAAACTATTTACACCTCTCTTTTTCCTTTTCCCCGTATCTATGTTACTTGGACTCAGGGTTGAACACAGGATATAATACTAGACGAGGCGAACTTATAAAATTTTAAAATAACCAAAACAAATTATTAATAGAAAATATAAAAAAAAGTCTAAATAACATGAGAGTTTGAAATTAGTATATTCGGACTTGTTGATGAGCATGAATCAGATACAATAACGTATCCAACATGAGTACTTGTTCTGGTTTTCTTAGTATTGAAAGATCACAACAACAAATGGATCGAGGGGTGCTGGGAAATTTTCAGGAAATTTAAGTATTTTCTTTATATTTTTTTATTAATGATCTAACTTTGCACTCCTAAATTTCTAATATAACTTCTTAAGCTCGCACCCTTACCTAAAATTCTATGTTCGTCTGTGATGATAACACGTACAACATGAGTACTTGATGGAAAACGGAGAATTTAGATGACAAAGTAATGTAAAAATTAGTGTAAGAAAACTAAAGGTGGTGATTATTGATTACAGACCTTCCATTTTTCCCAGAACTCTCTTCACGGCTCCAACACATCCCTGGCATGACATACCAACCTTGAGAACAACAGTCTGCAATGAATCCCATTTAACTTGAGTCACCTCATCAATTAACAACCATCAACTACATCAAATAATCTACACTACCAACATACTAAAATCATACTCCTGTAAAGAATGAATGTCGTTTAAATACAATAGGTTACTCTTCTTCCGCTCTTTCTTAAGCTAAAATTGAAAAAAAAAATCTAAAATCTAAATACGCAAATCTTCATCTCCAAATTATAAATACCAAATCATTCGAATTCGGTTTTTTAGCTAATCATTCCCCCTTTTTTATCTTTGAAACACAAATACAAATCAATCGAAATTGACCGAAACAATAAGAAATTTGACCCAGAAAATATTCCAAACAAAAAATACTAATAATAGAAATGCTTAAAGATTCAGCCAAGAAAAAGAAAAGAATACCTGAGACATGGCTTTTAGACTTGGAAATATAAACTGTGGAAGAGGAAGAAGAAGATATTGTTTAGCGTTGGTATGAAGCTGCAAGGTCGAAAGAATCGAAATTTATAAAAGATTTGTGGGTGGTAGCCTGGACCAGTCCACGCGCTTTTCAGTATTCTTCTTGCCGTTACTAATACTATTAGTTTTTTTAATAACTAATACTAATTGGCTGGATATATATATATATATATATATATATATATATATATATATATATATAATTTTGTTGTTGCTTTATCTTATATTTTGTAATATTATTTTTAAGAGTTTCAAATTGGCGGTTTAACTCTATATTAGATGTATTTATAGAAATAAATTTTATTTATATATAACGAGTGATGTCATAGTTTATGATAAGAAATGAGATGAAGAGATCATCTGTTTATGATCTACTTTTTTTCGTATGGAGTAAAAGTCACTAGTCGATCAAGATCCTAATTTGAAGATCAAGTGTATTATGAGAGAGTATCTCTAAAGAGAGATTGAGAAAGTCTCTTTTTATCATAGAGGAGTTATTTTATATAATATGAATGTTTGATTGTCACGTGATCACTTATTTGTAGGATGAGCCGAATCACCTAAGTGGATGAGTTTGTTATGTAGGTTTATCGAACTACATGAATTACTAGTCATTGGATTATGAAAAGGTGGTATGATATATATCATGTGTAGTTTTAAAATGGACCTCTTATGGAGTGGCAGAGGGTATAACACTTGCCCCTTTAGCTTGAGAGTTGTACATTGACACGATTCTATAGGTAAAGTAAGGGGATGGTTTTTGTTTCGTTAGCCCCCTTACTTTTTGTCTTTTTACATCATCCCCTCTTTAATGGTTTGTGTGAAGTCTTTAAGCAAATTTTCGTACGACTTATGGTTCAAAAGCTTTTTGCAGTGTTTATTCTATAATATTCAGTGAAGTTTATTCAATACAAATATTCAACTCCATGCTCAATGCCTTGAAGGAATTGTTTGTAAAGAGAGAGCTTATTGAGCTCTCTGGAAAGATCAACGTTGATGTCGATGCAGATGTCAGATGTTGCATAAGGCCTCTAAAAGGGGTGTTATTGAGTTGGGTACATATAACCATTGCGTGGTATAATGGACATTGGATTTGGTTGGTTTAGAAGTGGATGGGGTGGGTGCCAAATTTGAGTGTTTGGTTCCCCACCAAATAATGCATCGAAAGTACCAAAAGTGCCCTTAAAATTTTAGTACACAAGTACTTTCATGTACTACACGCTTTGGGCAGTGCCAAATGCAATCTCTTTATGGGTCGATTCGAATTTGTAGAATTAAACAAAATACATATTTAGCTTAATCGTGTGATTGTTTTTTCATTCAAAATCAAGTAATAAGACCAAGCATGGAGCGTGACTCCTTGATCAATAGGATATTTTCAATTTTAATTTCCCCTAAAGATTACTTTTTTAATTTGAACACTTTGACCTTAATATATGTTCAAAGGCTCTCAAATTAAACGCTTATATCTCTTTATACATGTGCTCGAGTATGAGATCTCAATGGACAATAACAATATCTCAACTACTGAAGTAATTCGGTTCGTACACAATAATTGTCCAAACATTGTGATTTAATTTTTACTTTTTCAATTAAATGATAGCATTTTCGTAAATAATTTATAAAAGAAAATAAAGTGATATTTTACCTCTTCAAAATTTTAATTTCTTTCTTTTTATCTTAAACTGGGTAAATAAAAATTCAACCCTCTAGGAGAAGTAAGGGAAATATAACTTCTTTTATTCCAAAAGTTATTTATATGCATTAAAAATCATTTCCTATACTTAAAAGGCAAAACTCATAGGTATTCAGCAAGTTCGGTTGCATTTTTCCAAATATGGAAGAAAAAAATATCTAACTAGACCGGTAATTAAATTTAGGGTAAACTATATTTACTCACCTAATCTCATGATATTATTTTGGTCACCATTTTTTTAAATCATATTTAATGTTACGTTTTGAACTACGCCGTTAAAAAATTAATGGTAATACTGACGTGTCACTATAAAGAAAGTCATATCATCACTAAATTTTTTTTAAAAAATTACCATGACAACAATTTTGTATATTTTTTAACGACAAATGATCAAAACAAAACGTTAAGTATGATTTTGAAGGAAAAAAAATTGAGTGACCAACACATAATCGCGAGAATAGGTAGGTAACTAAATACGTAGTTTACCCTTATGTTTATTGGTACAACAGTATTTACGCCAACAACAGTATTAATGGGGAAAATACATATATCAATACATACAGTTGCATCTCCTGGGGAACTCCCATCTCCCTTGACTAGTAAAGACGAGAAAGAGAAAGTGATTACAGAAATGGCCTTCAAAAAGATATGATAGGCCAAGCATCTTCATGTGAAACATCTTTCTTGATTAAGACGCAACGTAAATGAACTACAATCTATGGATATCTGGTCTAAAATGGTTGTCAAGAAATGGAAACTGATCAGGACGTACCCGTATATGTGGCACTAGGTCAGGATAGGAGGGGAAAGTTGGGTAACTCTGCAGAGCTGATGAGGGTAGGCCTGGTTCCGAGTAAGGATCGAAACATGGATTTCGAGTGGATCTTGACCCTGTCTCTGCATACCGACTGGTGAGAATTTGATCATCGTTTGTGTAACCAGATGCAGTTGGGACTATGGAAGAATTTGATCTTACATCCATATAAGGGCTACTGTAAAAACGATCACCTGAAACTGGTGGGTAATTACTAGAACTACTTGACAAAGTGTTGGCATAAGAAGTGGTGAGAAGATGGTTGCTAGAAGTCGGTGCAACTCCTGCATCAGGGTAATAGTTTGCCAAACTCAACTGCAGACCCCTTTTTAACATCATCAATGTCGTGGAGGTTAGCAATTGTCAATAGTTTCAATGGTCAAGTGACCTCACTACTCAATAGAGATGGATAGCAAAGGAACTCACTTAGGTGCACTGGACCATAGGAAAGCAAACAAGGATCCACCTTCAGAACCAAATATCAAATTTCTTTTAATTTAGATTTCAAAAGATCTTACTAAAATGTTTGGAGAATGAACACGTGATTCTAACTTAAAAGTTAGGTTTAGTGATATATGAAGGATTTGTCAGCTAGCAATTTCAGCAACCATGTGTGTGCCTAAGAGAGGGGTGGGGAATTTTCTCATCTCGCAAGAAAACAAAAGATAATCAGCCCAAAGAGATGATTTGCTGCCAAAAAACTGCAGTTGAGGTTAGCCAAACAAAATAAAAATTTTACCCAACTTTCCACGACAGATGGAAGAAAAGGACAGCCACCTATACATCTTCCCAGATTCAGTAAGAGAGGGTTTTAGACCCTCCCTTTCCAATTGAGTAACCCAAGTAGCAACCAGCAGATTTTGCAAAGTTCAACTCCATCATCTGTATGTATTTTTATGGAAATAGATTCCTTTGAAAATAAGATTAAATCACCTAGGTATTAACCTTTGTTTCATCTTTAAATTTCTAATTTCTAATTTCCCAGTCTATAACAAAAGAAAACCATAATTCACTTATCAACTCCTCAACTAAAGTTCTTAAAAGGTCATAATTCATAACCAAATCAATTACGGCTTAAATTCATAAACGTTCTTCAGCTGCTCTTGAAAAAATAGACATAAATTATTTTACATTTCAGTACCGTGTAGAGATGTCAATCTGCCATTAGTATCTTATGTGATTTAACAATATACATTAGCAAAAAGATCACAAAAGGTACTGCAGAACCAGAAGATAATGACCAGAGATGCTGCACTAAGTTATTCTATATGATACAATACTGGGTACACATATCCGGGACATGCATTTTATAAAAGCAACAACTGCCGCTATCAGACAATAATATGCAACTCCATATGGAATTATGTAAGAGACAACAAGCATCCATAATTACAGAAACAAGGATTATAGGCGCTATCGAGTATACAACTAGTAGGGGAAAAACCTTCCTTTAAGAAACTTTTTGCACTGAACCCTTTCATAGTATCATGTATATTTAATTCATTTTGCACCAGAAGTTTAAAATGTTCCCCCTCAGGCCTCAGTAACCTTGAACTTAAACTATCATGGTATTTACTTGTTTTATATAAATATAAAACACACGTGACGTGTGAGTTGTAAATAAGATAAGGTAGTTACAGTTTGTTATTTCCTGTAGATAAACCTAATTAGTTTAGATTACTCTTATCCCTAGTTTAAAAGTTAAGTGTTGTATAACTATAGGACTCCTTGCAGGAGTGAAACTCTCGGTGCTGAAGTCTTTTAAAAAGACTCGCTCTGTAAAGTTTTATTTGTAGTGAAATACTGAGAAAACAAATCTGTTTTCATCAGATTCTACATTAAGTTTTAGTATGAGATCATAACCAAGAAGGGAAAAGAACACCTAATATCTATCAAATAGGTTTTGCTTAAACATACCGGTGTACTACTATTATTTTCTCTGAACTTCTCTTCCCATTCTCTTTGGGCCCTTTCCATTGCTTCATAACGGTCAATAAGTTGTGCTTGATGTTCCAGTGCCTTTTCCATGTCTTTCTCACCTTCATACCCATGAAAACCAAGACCATAAGCAGTTATATTTCTTTCATCTTTTAAGGCATCTGAATGTAGATTGTCCACTCAGCTTTTATTTACAGGAAAATCTGAATGCAAAGGTAAAATATAAGACTCACTTTTAGACTGATTAGTATTAACTTCAGGTGATGTTACAAGTTCATTTACTGGTGAACCGGCCTTGACGACATCTGATTTGGGCTCCTCCGCTACTAATCTGATGATATAAAACAAGCAATAGATAATTTTGTTACTTGACTAATGAAAGTTAACACCTGTGAGGATTTCAATCTTGAACATGGCATCAGCTGAAATGTACCAAGATGAAGAGAATTCTCAAGTACAGTCTTTTTTATAAATGAAAATGAGAAAAATAATCCTTAATTAAAAAATTATTCCACATTTTATCTTTTAGTTCTGATTTAATCTCCTTCGCAAATGATCTGATAAATAAAGAAAGCATTCACAAATATTTGGTTTACTTGATTAATGTGTCATAACTATGAGGAAAACCATGTTGAATATGAAAGAAATTAATATGTAACAAGATGAAGAAAATTCTCAAATTAAGATATTTTTATAATTGAAAATGAGAAGAATGATCTTTAAACAATATTTCATTTTGCTCATTCAGTTCTAACGTTTCCATAACACATTAAGCTGTACAAAAGTATCAAAGTAATAAATGTACCCTCTCCATCGCCATTTCCTTTCTTTTTTATTTTCAGTTTTTTTCTTATGTCCAACCTGAGACCACTACTACACATCCTTTTCTTTATCATATCTTATTCGGGACTTCAATGTTTTATTCTTTGCATCAGAGAAGAGTGCATGTCATACAGGTTCTAGTACCCATAAATACAGAACAGTATATTCTTTTCTATTACTTAAGAAAAAAATAAAATGGCAAACTCTTTATGATAGAATAAAAGCAAAAGTATCATGTACCAAACCTTGATTCCCGGTGTCTTATCTTCCGGCATGATTTTCCCTGCCAGTGTTTTGGGGACGAAAAAACCATAGATGAAAAAGTATTGTGCTTTCTCACAATTGAGTCTCTATACTTTTCAGGAGAATGAGAAGCACTCTCACGGCCTTTCCAAGACAAGCTTCTACAAGATAGTGAAGAAAAATCATCAGAACCCGAAAGTTCCTCTTCTTTTCTTCTCCCTTTTGAACTAACGGATCTCTCCTCTTCTTTAGTAGAAACATTATCCATGTTGGACTCAAAAGGCGAGTCCTGGTCAGAGCTTGAATCAAGTTCCTCAGATACATCACGTACCCCATTATTCTCCAAAATGGCAAGAACATCTGCTGTTGCCTTTTCAGCTCTCCTCCTTTGGACAGACACAATTCTTAGCTGTTCCTCAAGTTCAGCTACCTGATTTATATAAAATCCAACACTATAAAGCATTACAGAAAGTTGATACACTTGAGCATGATATATATATGAGAGAGAGAGAGAGAGAGAGGTAAAATAGAACAACCAAACCTCAAGAGGCCTAAGTAAAACATTTAAACATACCCTTCTTGCCAGTTCATCAGCTCTCTGTCTTGCAGTTTTGGAGACAGATCGTTCGGACAGTAAACGTGCTCGTAGGAATTCAATTGTCATATTGGAATCCTCCATGTTGCAAGTTATCCTGAAAAAGCAAGGGCAAATTAATCACCCAAAAATCAAACAGCAAACCTCATACCTAATCTTGTATAGCTTTATGAATGATCAACTCGTCCCCATTGCTCTCTCATTTTCACACACAACAAGCATGCATGAGCAATAGTGCAATACACAGAAAGTATGAACAATTACTAAAGCTAACACAATGACAGAAAATCTATTTTTACATCAAAATCAGTTCCCCCTAGCATATAAATGAATTTACTTATATATGGTGTTGCTATAAAGGCACGGAAACAAATACTTTCAAGGCATCAAGAGGCTTCCTGCAGAAAAGAGGAACAGCCATGCAAGAGAAAACTCCACTGGGGAACTAAACAAAAATAACAGAAACTAACCATGTTTTAGCTACACCGAAAACAATCTCTTATAAAGAAGACTACCAACCAAAATTAGAACTGGAAACAATATCTCCAAACTGAGGGCCAGCATGGGACACAAATACAACTAGGATCATCAAGAGCAGTTCCCATATTTTCTTAAGTTGTTTTGGTAGCAGATTTTGTAAGAGAAACAGCCCAAGTCCAATCCCGAAACAAAAATAATCCCAAAGACTCTCCCTCCAAATTCCTGATCAATACAAATCAAACACCAAACTCTCTGATCTATGTAGGGATAACTGTTTATCAGTCAGAACCAGGTCTGAAATCGGGTCATTAACACAAACATGCTAGCTGAAGAAGTCTTAAACTTTGGCTTCTAACTGAAGCTCACTCCTCCAAAAGCCAAAATCAGAAAAAATAAACAACATAATACTAATCCAAAAAACATTAAAAATATATCTAGAGAAGCAAAACGATCAATGAGCTAAAACTAGTTTAACACACACACAAAAGCCTAACTGAAAGCATCAAAAACTAGTTGAACACACAGACACATATTAAGAAATACCCATATTATATGTACCTTTGATCTTGCTTTCCTTGATCAGAATTCGGCATTTTTAGAAGCAGGAGGCTTTGATCAGCAACACTCCAAAATATAACCCAAAAATCCAGCTTTTTTATTTTTTAAAAAAATAGAAAGAATTAGAGTATGAGGAGGAATGAGGAAAACAAGGTTTTTGATGCAGAAAGGAAAGAGGGTGAAAAATACGTAAGAAGGCAAAGTTGAATGAAATGGAATTGGTGGATGACTTTATGGTATTTTTCCCTTCACAGTCTTTAACCTTGAGATAGAAATGGATGGAGGGGACCGTCCGGAATTTCAAGAAAAGAGGCAGAAGCTACTTTCCTTTGTTTTAGACGCGTCCCTTTGGACACTCCATCGTTATCGTTAAATTTCAATAGATTACCAAACCCACTAAAACTATTTATCTAAATTCTTAAACCTTGTACAAATATTACAATTAATTGCTAATGTTGGAATATTTTAGTATAATTAAATGCTTTTTTATAGGTCAAATAAATTATAAGATAGTATTTATTTAGAATTTTTCGTAATCATTGACAACGCACGTATATATGTTGACACACTGTTTGAATCTGAGACCTCTAAGGAGAATAACATTTATTTTAACCACTGAGATCATTTGATGGGTTGACAATTGAACGTTTATTTAGAGAGAATAGTACAATATAATGTTAACATGGCATATGTTATAAAACAATTAGATGAAAAAAGTCTAAAGCAATTTAAGTTTAGATTGATAAAGATATGAAATATTATTTTTAATAATTTGAGGTGATTATAAGATATTATGTATTTATAATTTTTCTTAATCATTGACAATATATACACATCTTGAAACTGAGTAATTGAATTATTTTATATTCATTTTTGAAGTGAAAAATAACTTTTAAAATGAAAATAACTTCATGTATATCCAAAATTTGAAAAGTGAAAATGAAAGACAACATATATAAATATGATTATTAATAAAATCCATAAATTTGTGAAATTCTTAAGAATTTATGAATCTCACAAATTCATACTTTTTGTCTAAATTAATTTATTCATAATGTGTACATACCTTACATAAAATTTCAAATTCGTATTCCAAAATACAATATATGACTATAATTTTGAGTCGAACACTTATGTGTAGTAAAATGGGTTAACTTTCAATAAAGGTTTGGTCATGGCAATGCTGGCAATGCTTTGGATGGATCGACATGGTTAAGCCTGCATGTTCCAATAAGGGCTTCAGGGAGCTCTTCTTCTGTATTGCCCTGAACAATTAGATTTTGATCATAATCAATCCTTTTTTTCAATATTAACAAAATTTAAAAATAAATAAAACTTAAATAAATAGATGTTTTCTAAAAAAGATCATGAAAAATATTCCATCGCGTGATTATAGTGAAAAACTTCATGTATATAATTGTATAAAAACTTCATGCATGTCTGACTGTGCACGTTGGAAGAAGACTTGCCTGTATAATAAAAGCCATTTCTACGACTAAATTGTTAAGATATCCCAAAAGAAAATCAGATATGCCTCGTGCCATTGTTGAAGACCCAACATCAATGTCAACCTGCAAAATTTCAAACATATTTGATCGTTAACCGCATCGTGTACATACCCTACATTATTTGGATTCTTCATTTTTCTTAAAATATCTCTACATATCATGCATATATGGATATTAATATGGAACCCTCCAAGTACATGGAAATCTTGGGGATAAAAAAGGAACATACATCCCCATATCCTATACTTTCACCCGAGATCAAGTAACATCAGATATATCAGCATCAAAAACTTGCAGAGGGTAGAAGCATATCAACAATTGAAAACAATAAAGCAATGTACCTCGATGTAATTGTTCCCTCTGAAATAATGAGTTTTAAGAAATTGACCCAATATGGTAGCTCTCTTTCGAACACTTTGCCTTGCTATCCATGATCCCTAAACATGCATATTGTTAGTCAAACCACGGTGTTACTGTCAGGTATGACATATGTATATCAAAGCATTTCTCACCTTAGAAACGCATGGTATAATCTTCAATCTCGAGTTCCTAAAGGCATCATCTCCATTTACAAATTTGTAAAGCAAAGGATGGTCTTCCAAAGGAGATTTATCATATAGTATAGTGCCAGTGTATGCCTCGACGTCGTGGGAATCTGACTCATATTCGTTGAAGTATGTTACATGATTGTTGATGAAAACAGAGAAGGTGATTCAAGATATACTACAATCAAGAATACCTGGAAATTAACGATGATGAAAAATTCAGGTCCACATTGAGCTGCATGTTTCTGCAATGAAGTTAGCAACAAAATTTGTTTTCTACCACTTGCTTGTTATCTCAGATTTTGTCTAGGTTTTGCAAAGATTTTAAGTGACTTGGAATCAATTTCTTGTAATCAGCTCATACTTAGACGTCTAAACAAGATATTAATGCTGACAAGTTAAGTTAAGTGAAACTCAATCCAGCTAGAGTTAAGCTCGAGCTTCTTACAGACTGAGCTCGGCTCAACTAAATTGTACCCACACAAATAACACATTGTTAAAGCTCGAACCTGCACAATACCACCTACTCGGCTGCCAAGATCATCTTCTCGTTTATCGGATATTAACCAATCTGCCCCTACCATTTGCATCAAGGTCCCATTTGCCTTGATCTAAGAAAGATTAGAAGTTTAATGCATAGATTGAAGGTAAAAGATTTAAAAGAAAATTACATATGCAGATAATTCGAAAAGGGAATAATGTCAGATTCATTGTATATATTTAAATGAGTATATCCAACTATGTTACTTAGACTCAAGTAAGTGTTAGATATGATTGTATATGTTAGCATGATATTCCCTTGCTCATGTACAAATATTTGTAGGAGAGAAATGTTGGATAAGGATACTTTAAGGAAAATGAAGAACATGCGTTCTAAAACTTATATTCATTTTCAGCCTTAAGGATGCACCGTATTACAAGTAAAACTTTGGGGATTGGAAAGATGAAGTTTTATGGAATAAAAGGTCGTTTGACGTAAACTCAACTAACTTGAACTGACCTATATTACTCTACTTTTTATCTGATTTGAAGTATTTGTGTCCGACACAGGTATAGGACCCTAAAAATATATTGAAAAAACATTTTTTTTAATATACTCGTATCCAACACTCACGTCTGTTTTTGATTAAGTACGATTTGAAAATGAAAGTGACGTAAATGAATGAATACCTTTTGGTTGTCTTGCAAGTAGCTTTTACCACGAATCAAGAACCAAGACAAACTGCCGGCTGACCAAGTGCAAGGTAAAGTACAGGTCGGGTCCTTTTGGAGTGATTTTCCATAGCAGTAGACCAGGGTGTCTTCCTTGACCACCTCTTGTAAGTCCATGTAACCCTTCTTTTGAGCTGCAGCATGAATAAGATCAAACACTTGATAATCAGAAGATAGTAATTTCAAATTTGAGAAAATGATGCATTTGATCCATCAAAGTATCTCAAGTCATGTTTCTCTGACATTCAAAACTGAGTCAAAATAGCATGTCTAAGAACCTTGGCTAGCATAGTTGCACTCACTTGCAAGATCATGCAACTTTCTCACAAAACCGGCTGCTGATGTTAATTCCGGGTGATTCAAGTTCTGCATAAGTTAAATGAGAATGGGAAGATCATATAAATGAATTCTATTGAAGAAAATCATAACTCATAATTGCATTGGAAGATTGATCAACCAAGGGTATCACTGGTAAACACTGAAGTCGATTGAAATTCGTTGGTAGTTAGAAATAAACTGTAGGAAAAACTGGCTCCTTATGCAGTTTATGCTGTCATCAAACTGTACGTATCAACCTCAGGTTTGGAAATTTCGGTATATCACAAGGATAAAATAACAGTCAGAATCTATTCTAGAGACAAAGTGAGTACCGGGGCACAGTTTGGAACTTGGCTCAGTATACCACTCATTTTCCAAATGATCATCATCCGTAAGTTCAGATGCTTCAGGTACATCAAAGAATTCATCAGACTCTTCAATCAGACCCATTGAAGTCACCTGTACCTGTGCCGGTTTTTCCACCTCATTCTCAATCAAATCATCTTCTTCGATCTTTTCAGCATTCTTGGTGTCGATATTATTTTCTATTTTTTCGATTTGAGGTAAGTGTATATGCCTTAGCCACTCCCTGGACAAGCAATTGGAAGAATGATTCCCTGTTTGCCTTTGAACAGCTCCCTTAAGGCTGCAAATGTAAGTGCAATAAAACATTTAACACACCGTTGATTAAATGGAACTACCGGAACTTCAACTACTATTAGTGAGTAGTCAGACACCTGCAACTCTCTTGAGCATTGAAATTGTCAAGGATCTAGCAGCAGATGGTCGTACATAGAATTTCCAGAATTTCCAATCAATGGCAAGCATGTGCTTCACGGTTGACTGTTGCCCCTGGTTGACGGGAGTGATGACATATCCCCCACCTATGCTTTTTTGCAACACAAAATGTTCAAAACATAGAACAATATCTGAAATTAGACAAAAACAAAGTGATGTTTCTTGTGCACTCAAGAGGATCGAGAACTATACATTCCCTTCTAGAGCATACATTACTTTTAAGGTGAGCACGGACATAACCGCTTTGAGGGGGACATTTCTCGTGGACCACAGAATGGTACAGAATCACTACAACAAGAACAGGTAATGGAACGTTAGGTTAGAAACTAACATTTCGGCAAATTTTCATGAGTTTGCTTAATTAGTACCGTATGTGCCATCATCCTCTCGTCTCCAATAGCGTTGAAGTAATAAATCTCTCTGCTTCATTCCCCTGCAAGACCTATGATCAGTTCAAAACATAAAGCGTGAATTTTGTTCGTACAAGGCATAGAATCTAACCAAGGTAGCCAATCACTATACAACTTCTTGTGAATGATATCGGTATGATCGTCAAGGCACTCGACCACGTTGCCTTGGTAGACACAGAAGTCCCATCTGCAAGACAACCAGTTATTTAACATCGGGAAATTGGAAATTTCCATTTTGATAGATATTGCATTTGAGGTAATCGAACATGAATGAACATCTTACTCTGATCTTGAGGGGCCAAGAGACATAACTGCGAGGAAAATTGCCTCCGAGGTCCCATCCACCATGCCAACAGCCATTATAGCTGGATGATCATCCCAATGCTGACAACAAGAAGATTGTTCAGCCATAT